TTCATTTCAAACAGGGTCTCACAGTACATACCAAGCTGGCCTTGAACTCACAATCTTTCTGCCTCAGCCCCCTAGTGCTAGAATTACAGGCATGCAGCACCATACTCTGCTGTACACCCCTTTACAGTTTAGAAACTAGACTTTTTTCATGATGGGCATCTTTGGTCAGAAATTGAAGCTTGGGACCAACCAAAGTGAAGCTTTTTGATTCCCTGTGCCTTGTGTTCACTGAGTAGAGGACTAGAAATGAGTACACCTCTGTTCCTGTGAGAGAGGATAGGTTCTCCACAGAAATAGTCATCCATGATCAGCCATTTTAAAGTCTTTGAAAATAGATATGCTTCTTAGAGACCTTTTCCTAAGTTCCCTCAAATTGTATTATTAACAGTAGCTCGTTAAAACCAATCCCCCAATGGGGAAAAGGAACTAGGAGGCTTCATGGGAAAATCAAATGGTACTTTCTTCCTTTTTATAGCTCACAATTAGATGCTTTCTCTGGTCTCTGGAAGCTCAGACTAGCCATGGAACTAAAAGATCAAAGCTGATGCTTGGCCAACAGTGACGGTAAAAGTGTTGAAATGCTTCTGTTTAGTGATGGACAGCGGCTGCCTTGACCTTGCTACCCTGACCTTGCACGACAGGAGCTTCCCCACACTGTGCTATGCCTGGCATCTTTTAACATTACCTCTGAGTAAGATAGGGGTGGGTGGGTCCCACATCTGTCCTGACTCTAATTCTAGAGTTCCTAAATATCCTTTAAAGGGTCTTTTTTATTTATTTTATTTTATGTATATGAGCATTTTGCTTTCATAAATGTATGTGCACCACATGCATGACTGGTGCCCTCCGAGGTCAGAAGACGGCATGGGATCCCCTAGAACTGGAGTTATACAGCTTGAACCCTGAACCCAGGTCCTCTGCAAGAGCAATATGAGCTCTTAACAACTGAGCCATCGCTCCAGCTCCTTAAATAGTCTTTGAATAATTTACATCACCAGTGCCGTGTTAGAAGCCTAAAAACAGCACCTTTCAGTGGAAGGAGAGCTACTGATTCATTCAGGGGCCAATGTCAAACTCAGAAGCTTTGAAGAGACTCTCTGAAGTGGCCTCACTATTTATCTACGGTGATTTGGGTGCAGGGAGGACTTCCATGGTCCTCCCCGCAACTGCAGCTGCTAAGGACCAAACATCTGTCTGATTGCACTGAGCTATGAGCTCAAGGAGAGATTATTCTGCTGCCTCCTTGAAACTTCCCTGGGGCACGAAGGCAAAAGAGTGCGTCTTTGGCTATCTAATGATTCAGGGGATGTCAACGTGGACTCTACAACTTGACGGTATTTTCTTTTCCATACTTCCAATACGGTTACACACCCACAATGAACACATAGAGATGAGAACTCATCCCTAAGAATACAAAGTCCTGCACTTCCATGGTGATCTTGCGACATGAAGCTGGCTATTGTAACTATGAATGTGACACTGATTTGCACCCCAAAGACATAATAGAGGAGGCTGAGGCAGGAGGATTGCAAGATGGATGCCAGCCTAGGCTAGACAAAGGAGTCTCAGCAGAAAGGAGATAAGAGAGCAGAGACATCACCCAACTAGTCAACAAATGTTTCCCTTTAGAGTGTCTACATGTACTGAGCAGTTTTTCCAAACAAGATCTGTTCATTTAACTAGATAACATTGGAGAGAATAAAATATAAATAAATCAACAAGCTAAGCAACTTTGTATCCTCAGAAGTTCTAAGCATAGACCTAGTAAACTAAGCTAAGAACATGGTCAAGAGTGATCTAGGTATGCCTTTAATTCCAGCGCTCTGGAGAGGGAGACAGAGACAGGCAGATCTCTGTGAGTTCAAGACCACCCTGGTCTATGGAGCCAGTTCCAGGACAGCCCGGGGATTTATGGAGAAACCAAAGCAAAGCAACAGCAAAAAGGAGTGGCCCAGGGAAGTGAGGTGGGGGCGTCTGACCCCAGTGCTGCCCGGTGGTAAAGTGAGACCAGGTGACACGCAGGAGGAAGGACCCTTTAAGGGAAGCAGCAGGAGAGCAGACTGAGGCAGCTGTGAGATTTTTTTTTCTTTATTAAGAAATTTTCTACTCACTCCACATACTATCCACAGATCCCCCTCCTCCCTCCTCCCACCCCCGGCAGCTGTGAGTTTTAATGCCAGTGAATTCTCCAAAGCATCTCAGTGTGGTGAGCAGAGAGACGAAGGTGAGACTGGGGAGATGAGGTCATAGACTTAGGCAAGGGGCTCGCCTCCAGCAGTGGGGCAGGTCAGGCACTCGGGCATTCTGCTACAGAACCCCCAGCACAGACTCAATGACGACATTTTTCTCCTGCACAGCTGGAAATGCATCACGTGGGTGGAAAGCTGCCTGCTGAGCCGAACCCAGGGTGTTGAGCTCATGGGGAAGCTGGGACTACAAAATGCTGTCTGAAGTAAGGATCTGGGGCGAATAGACACATGGGAGAACAGACTTAGGTGGACACGTGAGATGGGTAGACACGAAGTGCCCAGATCTCACAGAGATGACTGGCTAGAGAAAACAGCCACAGTGAAAGCTACATTTCTCAATGGCCATTCTAGTTGCAAGAAGAACAGCTCGGCCCAAATGCATGCTCTTCCACAGAAGAGATGCTCCAAACTTAGGGAATAAATTAGAATGTTGCATGCCTGGCCCTCTGGATCCCTGTGGAGGAAACACCGTTTCCTTAGAGGAACATACCTTCTATTTGGGTTTACTTCAGTGAAATAGGAACTCTTGATTAAAAATAGCTACATTACTAAAGGAAGCAAGCCCATGAAGGAAACACAAGAAGGAGTGAGCACTGAGGCTTCTGGGATCTGTGAGTGAAGGTATTCCTAGGCTCAGAATATAAAATAGCTGAATAAAATATTTAAACAACTTAGACATAGAACAAACATTTAAAATAATCAATTAAAAAAATGGAGACTCTGGAAATGAAAAGAAAAAATAACCCTGAAAACAATGGGTGGTTTCTGTTGACCAATGGCTGCAAAATTCAAACAGGCTCCAATCACAGAAGACAGCCAAAAGAGAGAGGACTGTTTTACAATCCAAAAGTCTAGGGAGAGACACTTTGTGGAACTTGATTTGATTATAAGGTTAGAAAATTGGTTTTAAAAACTGTTACAAAAGACTTTTGAACAGTGAGTAAAAATGTGAATTAGAATATTCAATTATTCTTAATATTATTAGTAGAAAGACATAAACAATACGGCATTATAATCAAGTATATACACATTATACAAATGCACACATCTACACAAAGACACACACACACACACACACACACACACACACACACGCAGAGGGGATGGCATGCAGAAAGCCTCAGGAATCAAGCCAGAAGGAATCAAAGATCCGTGTTTCTCAGAGGCCTCAGTCTCTATCTGGAACACAGGCAGTGGAGAACAAGGGGAAAATACATCAGAGCTGTGCATCTCAGCAGGTCTGCATGCTCTATTTGACAGGAGTCTATGTAGGAAGTATTTGCAAAATGCACTCTGCTCTCAATATGCTCAAATACCTACCTTTCAGCTCCATAACATCTAAGGGGTTTTCAAAACCATTAACCATGTAGGTAAGTGTTCTAAGTCCCCCCTTATAGTCAACAAATTTAACAGTCGTACTCCAAATATCACATTGTTGAGAGGTGCCAGACCCCAGTTACCCCGGATGTTGGGAAAAGAAACTCAGAGCTTTTAGCGACTGGCTACTGTCTCACTGCTGGGGTTGAAGTCTGGTGTTGGCAAGCAAGAGCCTCTCTGTACCTGCAACTCTCCTCTCTCTGCTCCATGGACCGTTCCTGGGTCACTGGGGTCTCTAAATCTTAGGCTTAAACCTTAGGAACATCGTCAGGAAAGCACTGATTTAGTTTTGCCACAGAGAGATTCCTAGAATCTCTGTGTTGGTATATCTCAGCTGACACACTTTCCGAGTGGTTTTCTTTAGAGGGTTTTGTAGAAAATGTGAACGGGTCCTCAGAGCTCTGGTGTTTGTCTCTGATAAAGAGGGATGGCACGACACCCAGATGAGCTGCCTTAAGGTGCCATGACTGTTTTAGTCCCACTTCCCAGCAAGGTCATTGCGTGCATTCCACTTCTACTGTTGTTCTCAAGTCTAAAATCCAAGGATTCCAATGACACACCATTGATGTAACAAAAAAACAATAGCTCTGTTCTATTGACAAATCACAGAGAAGTACTCTGTAGTCAGTCACATTCTAATTCAGTGTAACAGCTTGGGTACGAGTTCAAGATTTTTCACATCAGAAAGAAAATAAACCTTTGGACTCACTCTCAGCCAAACACAGCCACATTTTTAGTACCAAAAATGACATGTGCACTTATAACCTAAGCACATGACATTGCTTCCTGTCTCCTGAGAGCTAGCTCATATCATTTGGGGGCACACAGAAGAAAACCAGAATTTATTGATTTTTTACTTATTTATTTATGCTACAGAACAAACCCAGAACTGCTAGGCAAGCCTGCACAAGCTAGGCAAGCACTCTCTCTACCACTGAGCTAATTTCCAGACCTTCAAGCCAGAACTTTTGGACTTGGGTGAACTCATTCTTTTGCTGTTTCACTAGCAACGGTACCTCTGGGGGAGGCATCATCAGGAAGCGCTTTCCTGGGTAAGGATCACAGCCCAAGGGAGACACTTGCTCCGGCTTCACAGCACCTGGCCATCCCTCTAAGCTGTGATGAGTCTACAATACCTTCTGAGTCAAGTGGCAACTTCTGCATTATGTTGTCTGATATGCACGCAGTGATGTCCTCGGTCAGCGTCTGGGATGGCAGGATCTTGTGAGGGTGTTCCAGCACCCACTGCTTCTTGAGCTTTTCTGCATGTGAAAATCATTTGAGGAGAAAAATTGTGACAAAAATCTCTGGATGTGGGTCCTAGACATGGAGATCCTCAAAAGATCCCCAGATGGATTCAGTGTGGAAGCAAATGAACAAGTATGACTTCAACTCTGATCGCCATGTGATCTCACCAACACAGACCACCGAGAGGACACTGCGGTGACAGGGCAGAAAGACGCTCGCTTCGTGAAAATTCAGGCGACAGCCATGAGTCACGGATCGCCTTCTATTTGGGTCAAGAAAGTGGACGTATTTAACGTGATTGCCACAGAAATACTAAAATAGAAGAAACCCATGTCTTAGACCTTGAGAAATATGATATTGTCAGAAGGTGAGTATTTCTATACCTCTTCACCCACTGCACCCCAATTTTGACTTAATGTTTGGATTCAGACTTCAAGGCACCCCCTCCCCCAGCAGCTCAGTGTGGTCTGAGGCCCTGCAGCATGTTATCACTGGGGAGCCGAGCACTCGGAGGCCACATTCAGAGTCTTTAGAACCGTCCTCAGGTGACTCATGTGTATCTTTGCTTGAAAGGCAGTGTTTTAAGATACCACAGGGAGATGAAGAGGACAAACAAAACCCGGGCATTAAAATTTAACAACTCAAGATGTAGCTATTCTCTAACTTCACAAATCAGATCTTTTAAAAACACAGGGTTTAGATTCTGCTTCTCAAAAGATGTTTTTGTGGTGGTTTCCTCATCTGCCTCCCCCGTGCTGTTAGCAAGACACAGATCTCTGGTGGAAGGTCTGGAGAATGAGCACATAGAGTGCTTAAGGGACGCTGGTGTGCCAGTGTCTTGCTGTTGTGTGTTTTTCCTGGAGCTTTGCTTTCCAGAACATTTGCATGATCATAGTTACTTTGTGGTTAGAATTCTGTATGCTCATTCAGTTGATTACCCACCTGAGGGCTTTGCGCTTCACTTGTGATGTCATGACTGTCTCTATGGCAACTGACCACAGCCTCATCAACTGAGATCTAAAGTGAAATATCTGCAACAAAGACTTCATGTTTCTACACCAGCCACACTCCCATATCCATGTAAATATCTTAGCAAGCAGGACAACATGAACAGTAAACACACACATACACACACACATAGGCATGCACATGCACACTCATGCATACACACATTAATGTACACACACACACATGCACACATACAGTCACATACAGGCACACACACACACACACACACACACACACACACACACACACACGCACGCACACACCCACACACTGGGATAGAAGGAGAAAGAGCATGAGATCATCATGATTCAACTAGGTGTCTTCTAAAATTGCAAGTGCTCTTTGGTGCCTCAAGACACACAAACTCCTACCAGAATAGGAAGACCGTCAACTCAACTTGATGCATCATTGTATCAAAGTCTACATTTTGCTTCCTCCAAGTTTGAAGAACTATAGCATTTGAGCCCAAAGCAAATATTAGGACAGATGATGCATACCAACCACTCCAACAACCAAACAAACAAATGAACAAACAAACAAGTGACTTGCGCTAGTGATGTATCTAAATAGTAATATGTCTATGTAACTCAACAAACATCCTCTAGACACCCGTTATGTGAAAGACAGGGGACATTCAGATTAGTCATAAAAATACCCTCTTACATGTCACAGTACATGACAATCCCATGGTTACAGCTACATTCAAGGTCTGGAAACACAGACAATATGATTTTTTCATGTGTCAATTTAACATGAGTAAAGTATTTAGAATTTACTTACCTGCTTTACCTCTCTGTGTTGGTGCATGCATCTGTGTTGGTAAACAGAAGGGTGATTGTCAAAGCATGAGGTGAGTGTAGATGTAACCAACCATCTGATTAAATAAGAAACACAGAACCAATGTAAAAGAGAAAGCCAAGAGGTCAGAGCTCAGAGCTAAAATCTCACCCTTCCTCCTGCGGTGTCCCAGCTTCCCAAAAGAGAGCTATTTCCCTGTGTCCAAGTCGTTTCATAGTCATTCTGCCTTATCATTGGTTGTAAACCCAAACACGTGACTGCCTCATCACTGTCTGTATGTACAGCCCCCCAGGTCTTAAAGGAATATGTCTCCAATGCTGGCTGTATCCCTGAACACACAGAGATCTATGGGGTTAAAGGCGTGCGCCACCACCGCCACACTCTGTCTATGGCTCTAATAGCTCTGACCCCCAGGCAACTTTATTTATTAACATACAATCAAAATCACATTTCAGTACAATTAGAATACCACCAGGTGAATTCTACGAGAAATGAAAAACAGCAGAACTTTGGACAGCCGTATGGAGAAGACAGCATTTGAGCTGGACTTTTATAACAAGTCAGCACAAGGGAGAACCCCCTACTATTGTTTTGGCAAATGGACATGTGGTCAAGCTTCTAAATAGTTCTGCTTAGACCCATAGATCAGTGCTGCTGTTATCCTTGACCAGAGACAATGCTCTTGGCAGTGGACAGTAATTAATGCAGAGACTCATAGCAAGTCAAAGTGCTAAGAATGAATGAGCCGTGTGTCCAGCCCTAAAAGGAACACCTACCTATATCACCCTCTCCAAGGTTTAGAGAACATCATGGAAAAGAGGGCAGGAAGAATGTATGCGCTGGAGGATGTGGAGGAGAGCTGGGAAATGCTGTCTTCTGACATGACATGACCATTGCCCTTGTAAACACACAGCAACTATGCTTACCTGCACAGGACCCACACATATGGGGCCCGTCACATTCTAGAATGGATCTCACCCCCAGCTCCGGAGTTATTGACAGTGGTTCCTGGGAGAGGGAATTTTTCTTCAGTGGTGTAGCCACCAGTCAGTTGTCCATGCCTCAGTAAACAAGCCCACATTGTTCATGCATGCAACCCTGATTAAGCTCTCTCGTGACATACACTCAAAAATAAGGAAAGTAGAGTAGGGTTTTTGGGAAGAGGAAAGGGTTCAGAGAAGTGAGAGAGGCAATGAGACAAGGAATGGGGGTGAGTGTGATCGAAATACATTATATACAGGTGTGAAATTGTCCAAGAATTGAGTTCTAATCATTTTTAATTATTTGTTCTGATTTTTAAAAAATAACATTTGTAGAAGATTTAATACCCAAGAGGTATAACTTAGGCAGGCTATGTAATTGTATCATTTGTTCCTCTGTGAAGTAAGAACTATTATCGGCTTTGTTTTGGGCAAATGAGAATCCTAAGACTTAGAGAAGTTAATAACTTCCCCAAATTTGTAGTTGGGAAATGGGAAGTATGGGGTTTGTATTAGGCAGCGTTCTCTGCGGCCCAGCTCCTTAAACATTAGGTCGCAGCCTGAGATGAGTCATGTAACTAAAAGAGGGTATGAATAAATTGGCAACAGTAAAAGGTTTTGAATGCACAATGATCAAAAATTAATTCAAAATCAAACACGAAATGAATCCAAGCTATTTCTGGCAGCACCCACCTGTACATGATACAACCTCACTGCAGCCTTGGTTCTGAGCATGTAACATGGGCCCTTCATAATGAGCACATTGGCATATCCACAAAGCCAGTAAGAACTGTACCAAAAAACTTAGATTCAAGTCTATTATATCTTATGAACCACTCTTAAGGAAACATGATGGTTAAACTATTTTTTTTAAAAAGGACTTCTAATGTTTCCATAACATCATTTATCAGCATGTATTGAATTAGTATATCTTTGGATTGAATTATGTTAAAATGTTGGGGTTTAAAATTGTTATTTGACTTGCTGAATTTCATTTAAAAAATCATTAAATGAATTTTGGCTTGGGATTAGGACAGAATTCCCAATAACTTCTGAAATGTCCTTGAACATACTTTTGCCTGCAATACCATATATTCAGAAAAGATTTAATTCTTTATATAAAAATGAGGAACAAATGTATCTCATTAGTATGCAATTTGCTTTTATCTTTAATAAATGCTACATACCAAAGCATTGTTTTACAATAAATTTCCTTATGATTTATTATCAGTAATGTTTGACTGGATACTTCTTGTATGTATCCTTAGTATCCAGGCTTGCTTAAACATTTCCTGAGCTAAAAAAAAAAGTCATGGCAGTCTGGGGAAGGATTCGGTTGCGAAAGTGCCTGCTGTGTAAGTATGAGGCCCAGAGTTCAAATCTCCACACCCACATAAAAACTAGGCATGGTGGAAGTGGGGATAGAGATGGACGGGACACTGAAGCTCACTGGTTAGCCATTCCAGTCAATCAGTGAGCTCCAGGTGGAGAGCAATAGAAAAGAGATACCAACCTCTGGCTTTGGTAGGCATGTGCACACATGTGCAGGGGAAGCCACACACAGGCGCTTATACATGACGCACACATTCATACTCACACTCACACTCACACTCACACACACAATCAAAAGGCGCACAAATGAGAGAAGTTGACGATGCCCTGCTCCATAGAACCAGGCAGGGGTGGGGTGGGGAGACCGAGGCACTGAGACTGGTTTGGTTAACAGGATGGAGATTTGGGAGTCGACAGCAGTGACCTGCGTGCTGGAGAAGCAGAGCAACAAGGGAAAGAGCTCAGTGCAGGTCTGTGGCCAGCTCAGCAGTCCCATTCGGGTCCTGAGAGCCTGGACAGTCCAGTACGGAGTCCACACCAGGAGAGGCTGAAGTCGGACATCAACAGAGAAGCGCAGTGCGACGGCAAACACACTCAGAAGGAAATGAAGGCAGGATTGCTCTGCTAGTGACTTCCCTTGTTTCTTTGATAAGAGACGTTTAAGGAAGGGATGGAGTTGTTTGGTTCTCAGTTTGAGGATACAGAATGGTGGGGAAGACAAGGAAGCCACTGATCATTACGTCTGCTGTCAGGAAGCAGGGATAAGAATTCCTGTGCTCAGCTCTGCTTGCCCTCCATGGTGCAGACCACATTCAGGGTGGGTTTTCTCCCTTTGGTTAAACTTTCCTGAAAATATCCTCATAGACACGTTCAGAGGAGTGTTTCCATGGTGATTGTAAACCTAACTAAGTTGACAGTTTGACTCACATACGCTACTTCTTCCTTGGACCGTTTTTGATCTAGGCCACCAGCTCCATGGTGCTGTCTACAGTGAGAGTAGATTGCCTCCCCCTACACACACTTGGCTAATTCTCAATGGCAATGCCCAGACGATTCTAAATTCAGTCAGGTTGATAACTGAGACCCGCCACCACACAACTGAAACTGCATTACAGCACAACGTAATGTTTAACACCAATGGGTCTATCTCTAGCAGGCTGAAACTCCAGTGTCTTCAGAGACAAGGTGAGGGCTGTGAGGGAGAGAAGAAGATGAGACATCTGGGAGTACCAGAGACACTGCTGACCCATCAACTCATTGCCTGTCCAAGCATGAAGTTCACATTTTCCTAAAACACTCCAATGGCCAAAGAAAACATACCCCAAGGCCAGACTCGGTTAGAAAGGCATGGGTTCAAAGTTTAAGTATCTTATGTAAATTAAATTAATTTTTCAACTATAAGAATCTTTCCTGTTCTCATACAGTTTGGTTTTCATCCAAATTTATCATTAAAATACTGGTGTCTCATGATGAATGAGACAGTGTGCCTAGAAAATGATTAAGAATTCATTCTTCTCTTATTCATTCAACAAATACTTATTGGGAGTCTTCTGTATGTTGGACTGTATGGTTAAAGCAATGATTATGAGAGATGTGTCTCCTCTCTTGTAGAAACTTAGGTCTAATGAATGAATGTTGCAAGTATACTTTTCAAGGGAGGCATACACCATTTTCTTCAATTTTTTTTCAATGATTTGTAAGACCCAAGTGCTCCAAGGAAGAGGTTGAAGCGAATTATGCCATCAACTAAAAGATACAAGACGATAGCACATTAGCTGAGCAGACATGCCTTGTTTGGCTAGGGTAGTGACTTGTAAAGTTTTGGGAAAATGTCTTTAACAGCTTACATTCTGCCCTTTGCCAAAGGCCTTCCTATCATGCCACTAGTCTGGTTTCAAACATTAGTGTCGGCTGCTGGCTCCTGAATACATTGACATGCACAGTCCTATTCACAACACGGAATCCATAGTATTCCAACATCCTCACAACATTCAGGAGAAAATGAAGAATGGAATACAGGAGTTTCTTTTTTTTAAGTGTACAATGATTTTTATTTGCTGACAAAATCCAATTTTAGTTTTTTTTTAAGTCTACAAAAGTCTACTAGTTAGTCCTCAGACTCTGACCCATCTTCATCTTGACTAATCTGGAAATAACAAAGTTCATAAGTCTCCTTGTCAGATGCAACCACACGAAGCCAATCTCGGAGATTATTCTTCTTAAGGTATTTCTTGGTAAGATATTTCAAATACCTTTTAGAGAACTGTTTCTCAGAAACAACTGTGATTTTATTCTTCAATCGTTCAATGTGAACAACATTCCCAAGATTTCCAGTTTTTCCATTGACTTTAACCTTCTCCCATAGAAACTGTTCAAAATTTCCAGAATCAAAAATTCCATCTTCTACTGGATGAGTAAGGTCCAAATGAAACCTCCAGGTTGACTTCTTAGGCTTCTTGTCTTTCTGCGGCGCCATGTTGTCCTGCGGCCAGGAGTTTCAATATCCTGGCTCTATTATTTATCTCTGCATTGCTGGCACCAAATACCTGACAGAAACCGCGCATGACAGGAAAGGTTTGTATGGCGTCAGAGTTCCAGGAGTGGTGTAGTCTACTCCAGGAGAAGGGTGGTGAGTTCACAGCAGCAAAAGCATGCAGCGGAGGACTGTCACGTGGTAGGAGACCAGGAAGTAGAGAGCATGGGACTGGAACCAGCGGCAGGTATCATTTTCAAAGACTCACCCTCAATGACCTGCTTCTCGGAGCCAGGCCCCAGCTCATAAAGGTTCTACAGCGCCACAAGCTAGGGCTGAGTGTTCAAACCATGCACCTTTGTGAGGCCATGGCAGATTGAGACTATCTATCACACCAGCAGAGGCAAAGCCAAAACAGTAGCCCGGAATCACAAACACAGAGTGGAGATATGGAAGCAGCAGGGACTCCAGACATGTCTATGGAATAGTAGGAAGCAGAAATTATTTTCATGGGAAAAGACATGGGAGGCAAACTCACGAAAAGAAAATGAGATTTCCAACCCATGTAGCCCAGGAGTACACACCAAAATGAGACTCCTGGAGAATGCATGACCAGACAAAATACAGACTTTATACTCAAATGCCAAATAAGCGACAAAGACTTCATCACTGTAAGCACATCTCAAACACTGTGTAAAACATCCTCTAAGAAACTGAGTCCATCTAAAATTCAAACTTAGCTGGGTATTATGGACTTCGGATTGCTGAGTGTGGCATGCCCACCCCAAGGAAAACCAGCCAGTGGCCTGGTAGAAGTTACAGGCTTTACTTTGTATACTCTGGAGGAAAGGAACCAGAGTGATATCCCACTTTAGATGTTCCCTCGGTGGATTGATACATCAGTAAGACTATGGGATCCTACAGCTATCCAAAGAGCAGCGATGTCAGCCGAGGCATGGAGAACAGGCTCAGTGTTGGGTCCAGAAAGGAGCTTTACAAGCTTTCATTCTACTGCCTGAAGAAATCTCAAGGAAATGGCCAAGGTTGTGGCTCAATTGCAACCAGATTTGGAAAGGGTCACTTCTTTGGGAGTTGGTCATAGGCCCTTCAACATATGTCTGTCTTATCTTTGGACAAACAAAAAGGATCCAGAGGCTGGCTTTACAGAAGAGCAGTGTAAGTGGGTAGAACCCTTGGCATGTAAGCATGAGTACTGTGTTCAAATCCCCAGCACACACATCCAAGAGCTGGGCATAGTCATGCCCTCACCTGTAGCCAGCACCGTGTGGGGCAGAGACAGGTAAATTACTGAGGCTTACTGGCTGCCAGGCTAGCCCAGGTTCAGTAAAAGATTATGTCTCAAGGGAATACAGCAGATATGATAGAGGAGGGGCCCTGGTGTACTCCTCTGGCCCCTCAGCAGGTATGAGTGTGTGTATATAACATGCATGCACAGAGAAACAGAGAGAGAGAGAGAGAGAGAGAGAGAGAGAGAGAGAGAGAGAGAGAGAGAGAGAGAGAGAGCCAAACAATCTAAATCTTATCCAAAAGTCAGAGGACATAAACAAAAATAGTCAGGTAGCTGCTGCTGCTGCTTTTTCTTTTTCTCCTCCTCCTCCTCCTCCTCCTCCTCCTCCTCCTCCTTCACCTTCTTCTAACATCCCTAACTGTTACAGTTGAAATATAAAGTTATTCTCCAAAGACTCATGGCAAAGCTTGAATCTCAATGTGATGGTCTAGAAGATGGGTCCAGAGAAGTGACTGAATCACCAAGATGTGGAAAAGACCAATAATGGATTAATCCTTGGATGAGTTCATACTTGATTAGGACTTTAAGAGAAATGTATTAGTTTTGTTTCCGCTGCTATGATGAAATACCCCGACAAAGGCACCTTAAGGAAGAGCTTATTTTGGCTTGTGCTTCCAGAGGCATGGAGTCCATCACGGTGGGGAAGACACAGCCACAGTTGGGAGAAGCATGACAAGAGGGACAGGAAGCTGGCTGGTCACCTGTTCACCCACACACAGGAAGAAGAAAGAGAGAACAGGAAGTGGGGTGAGGCTACAAACCCTCAAAGTCCATCCCCAACTAAGTAATTCCTCCAACAAGATTCCACCTCCTAAAGGTTCCATAACCTCCCCAAACAGCACTGCCAACTGGGGACCAAGTGTTCAGCTATGGGGCATAGCACTCATTAAAGCACCGCAAGGACATTGTATCTAGCTGGAGGTCGTGGGTCAGGGCGCTTTGCTCAGGATGAGGAGATCTTTCCCTTGGTTCCATTCCGCTGCTCTGCTTTCCTTTGCCTTCTCCCCTCTTCCCCTTTCTTCTCTTTTTCCCTCTCTCCTCCCCACCTCTTCCTTCTCCTCCCTTCTCCTCATCTCCTCCCCACCCCGATGCCCACCATGAGCCAAGCAAATGTGCCCACTATGTGCTTCTTACCATGATGCTCTCTCTACCTCACTATATTGGAGCCAGTGCCTGTGGGCTGATGCCACGGATCAAATTAAATCTTCCTTTAAGTTGATTTTCCCAGGTATTGTTGTCATAGTGATGAAGAATTGATTGACACCAACATTTACGCAGCTATTTTCTAGGTGGTAGGAAAAAAGTAAAATGCTTCTTGTTTGTCAACTTAAGTTTTACTTCAAAGTAAACTAAATTTCTCCAAAAAACACGTCTCCAAAAATACAGGCTTGGTCATTTCTCAGATGACAGGTTTCTTCCTTGTAAAATGTTGGGATTGGGATCCAGGTCAACGCTGCCCTTTGCAATCACACAGGCTAGCAGGCATCTTTGAAGAGAACACTCCCTGTGCTGATCCATCATCCTCAAGCACTCTGTAAGCAGAGGGGAGTGTCCCATGCAAAGATTTCTTGCCTGAACATCTTGACATTTGAGCTTCAATGTTCGTAAGAAGAAAGGAGACTTTTGCCTTAGGACATTTCAACAGGAAGAATGGATGGTTTCAGAGCATTTCCAGGACCGAGGTTTTCATTTTTTTTAATCCAGACAGGAAACATTTGGGACTTGGGAAACTGCGTTTCTCTCATTTCTTTACTGATGTCTCCTTGACCTAAGGCTCGTTATTCCTTCTACATGGATGTGCATGGGGCACACAGGCATCTGCACACACACATACATGCAGCGTGCATGTGGAAGTGTGTGGTGACTGGTTAGTCATTATCTCCTCTAACACAGAAGCTTCTTCCTCTGAACCCAGTTCTTTTTCCCTTTCAAGAAAAACAAACAAACAAACAAACCAATATGTGAACACTAACCTCTTCTGGTGAGAACTTTCTGTGTCTGCTTGTCTAGGCCACTACACCCAGGTATTTTGTTGAATAACATCCGTGTAGAAGTTGCTGTGCAGAGACAAATTAGCCGATGTTAACACTTACAAGATTAGCCTTTGAGTAAAGTAGATTGTGTTTCCTGATGAGAGAAGACTACAGTCCCCAGGGAGGAGGGCACTAGAAGCAGACCTCCCTCCCCACCCACCCACCATACTGGTTCTGTTTCCCTTGAAGACCCTAATTGATATGGTTCTTTTTACTAAACTTTGATCAAATCACCTGGTCAAATCTAATTTTTCTATTTTCAACTGTGTGAGCAGTTCTTGGGGTCCTCTCTGAGTTACTATGCTGTTGGGAAAGCTCTTGGACAAGTTAGAGGACCACGTGAAGTGCATACCTACCCTGAGCCCTGACCAGAAGATGACAGGAACTATGTGCCCGCCTCCTTCTCCTTTCCCACTCCCTCCCCACCCCCTGCCCCGTTTGCCACTCCATTCAGTAAAGGTGAATTTACCTGTGAACATGCCCTCTCCTCGAATCCTGGACCTGGCGTGTCTATATCAGATTTGGCAAAGAGGGTTTATTTGAAAAGCTGCTCTCGCTAGATGTGTGAAATTCTTGCACAGCTGTGGGCTCCGAGGAGCCTCAGGGTGAAGGAGTGGAGCAGCAGTCCAGATCCCAGGCTCTCAGAAATTGAGCGCTCTGTGCAGAGCTGAAGAACCTCCGCAAAGACTATGGGCTGAGTTTACAGGATGAATAGAAACTGTGAGCAGGCCTTGGTGGATGGCATCACTGTCACCCAGATTGCATGGAATGGTTCCGCCAGGCTTCAAGGGGTCACTAAATCACACACACACACACACACACACACACACACACACACACACACACACGGCGGTTAAAATCGTGAGGTTAGCCCAAATGCTCACATTTTGCTTTCTTATGCACAAGCATCAAAGTGGTCGCAGACCCTCAACACCATAATCCATTATCAAAAACTGAAAGCAGCTGGTTGGACTTTTAGACTTTTACACAGAGAACTCGCATCTGGTCCCAGTTTGCTGAAAAGAAATCAGTCTCATTCTTCTACCCAGTCCCATGACAGAAAGTCCCAGGAGCAGCCTGGCTCCCCAGCTCAAGGGTCAGCATGCTGCTTTCAAGGCTTCACTCATGCTGAGGAATCCGCAGGGCCTCCCCGCAGCCAGGAAGCCACCTCAGAGCAGGGAGACTGCAACCCCATCAGCTCAGGCTGGGGATTAGCGACAGCAGCTCCAGGCCCCCAGACGGAATCTCTGCATAGATCATGTATATGAAGAAAAAAAAAATCATTTGTAATGGATAGTTTCAGAAGTAATATTTTAGGATCATGCAAAGTTGAACTATTGACTAACTTTCCATTCATTTCAGAGTCAGGACTCAGCCATAATTTATCTCTTTGATTCCACTGACCATCAGCAGTTGTGGCCATTTTCTGCCTCGCTCTGGAGAGCAGTTAAATGATGATGTCCAAAGCCTCCCCCCACCCTTTAACTTCCCTGTTTCAGCAATCTCTCCAGGTACTTCCCGTCTCCCCAGCTCCTGCGTCTGGCTCTTACTTCAGACAAGTCAATATGTTTAAATTATATCTGAACTCAAGGTAATTAATCATAAAGCTTTGTGCTTTGTCATGTGGGGTTTTTTTCTTTTCTTTTTTTTTTTTTTTTTAAAGAAAAAACCCTTCTGGTTGGCATCTCACTGAATCACAATTAAAAAGCAAAAGCTACTTGCAATGCATTGTGAATACCACTTACCCTTTGAGGCTGGGATCCTTCTGGCCAAGGTTGAGTAAGGAGGGTCAAGACAGCATTTGGGAGAAAGTTAGGCAGATCAAAGGGAAGGAAAAAAGTCTGTGAGCCTGGTCGGAATGCACAGAGACTGAACACACAATGATCAGGTGATGAACTGCTTCTTTGATGGACTTTACAAACACGGCCCGGCCAGGGCTTTGCAGATTGCAAGGTAATTACATCCTGTACCTTGTTGGGCGCGTTACTGAAGATTAGCAGTAGTTCCTTTAAGTGGAGTCCAGTTCCCTCCAGTTTTATCCTTGTGTTTACATCATGTGACCTTAGGATTCAGTACCCTGGTTCCTATTTCATCCAACCATGGGGCCCACAGGTTCCAAAGGGTCCTGAATCTCAAGGGGTATTGATGAAGAGTTCTCCATCTATGAAATGAGGTGGATAGCTGTCCACTTTGATCTGTTTCTACTTACAGAGTATTTCCGGCATCAAATGTTTAATGGGAGGGAGGTACCCACATCAACCACTTCTCTGACATTGGCTGCAGTTCTACAATTTAATTCAGTTCAACTCTGCTTCCATTGATTTGGGGTTAGTGATAGATCACACATGCTAAAGGAACAGTCCCCAAAGATGGCCTCACTGTGAAGACAAATTCCAAAGCCCAGGCCTTCTACCTGTACTTCTGACCAAATAGCTGCACGCAGGATGTTCTATTTCTGCCCCTCTGCTTTTCCTAAAATGACTCGGACAACTCAGAAACACTGTTTGTTTGCTCACATTTAGTGAGTGTTGACAAACTAAAGATACATGCCAAGGAAAGTCAGTAGAAAAGACACACAGTGAACAAATCATCCACGCCCTCCCTGGGAACACTTGTCAGGGGTGGGGTTAAAAGTTCCGTAATCATACGGCTTGCTCCTCTGTCAGCCAGCCCCCACTAGAAGCTATCCAGGGGTTTACCAGGAGATACCTCATTAAGAAAAACACAGGTAGGGTTGGGTGGGGTTATTATGAATCTTATGCACTATACAAAATGGTTTTTTTCCATTCCAATCATTCAGAAAATGTCAAGAGTTTTACGTGGTTTCTGCCAGGAATTAGAGATGAGGGCCAAATAAATGTTTCTCACTGTGTGACAATGTCATTCCATTCAAGACATTTCAGAAATGATGGCAAAGAGGTACACCTAGGATTCATAAAGATGGAGCTGAAGTTTCACTAGGAAGAGAGATTTCCAGCAAAGGCTTCGAAGTTTACAAAAATCACATACACCATGGCAGCAGTCAGAATTTAGGACAGGAAACAGATATTCTTGGTATTTAAAGCAGGGAATTGTAGTCTTTCAAGGTCACTGGTAGATCTGAAGGAACAGATTCTCAGGCCTGGGCCTCTGGGATGACTCCTGAGCCACCAGGGGAAATGATGGAGGTGTGAGATCACGCCCTGCTCAGCAGTTCCCACTTAGTCAGAACACACCGTTGAGTAGGCTTGGGGTGACCAGTCTTCATGTAATGTAGGCTTTGATATAACAATGGGAAGACGGACAAAAGCCAGAACACAGATACCTCAGCCTGGTCAGCGTGTGCTCTCCAAGGCACAGGCTCCTCTAGAATTCTTGCTGTACTGAGGTAGACATCCTAATACATGTAAAACCAAATAATGTGTCGGTTGCCAAAGACAGACACTGTAGAAAAATTTACAATTTGGATTTATCTGAGTAGAGACGACCCCCAAAAAGTCAAACTTAAAAATAGTTGGCTATCTGCATATAAGGGCAATGCTGTAGGGAGGAAGCATTAGTCTCAGCAAATATATTGATTGCACTGTTGATCAAAATCTGAAGCCCAAAGGCTTCACAGTACTGCAGGACACAGGACTGTGTTCACAGTACTGCAGGACACAGGACTGTGTTCACAGCACTGCAGGACACGGGACTGTGTTCACAGCACTGCAGGACACGGGACTGTGTTCACAGTACTGCAGGACACGGAACTGTGTTCACAGTACTGCAGGACATGGAATTGTGTTCACAGTACTGCAGGACACGGACTGTGTTCACAGTACTGCAGGACACGGGACTGTGTTCACAGTACTGCAGGACACGGGACTGTGTTCACAGCACTGCAGGACACGGGACTGTGTTCACAGCACTGCAGGACACAGGCTGGGTAAGATAGTAGACTGGGGGCCGTTTCCCCAAGAGTCAGAGGCGAGGAAGGAGAGCTTCAGAAGTTCACGAAAGTGGAAACGGGACAGCTGAGGAGTGCTGAGAGAAAGACGCATCAGAAGAAGGCAAGGGAAGCAGAGCTCGGCCCTCCAGCTCCCCAGCAGGGCGTGGGGAAGAGGAAGCCCCATCTGAAATGGATAGCTAGGAGGCGCTGGTGAAGGGACCAGTGTCCTGTGCCCAGGACAAAACATCTAATGGTTTATCTAGGTGGGCTTTGGATGAGTTAGTGGTTCCTCCAAAGAACGCTGGAGAGGAACCCCTTTCTGTCACTCTGTATGACTTCCAGCAGAGGTTCCCAACCTTCCTTTTGCAGTGACCCCTTAATACAGTTCTTCATGCTGTGGTGACCCCCAACCATAAAATCAGTTTTGTTGCTACTTCATAACTGTAATTTTGCTACTGCTATCAACTGTAATGTAAAGTATATGTTTCCGATGGTCTTAGATGACCCCTGTGAAGGCATCATTTGACCCCCAAAGGGGTCGGCCTGACCCATAGTTTGAGCACCACTGACTTGGAGGATAGTAGTCTGGCCACATCTTAAAGGAGATCTATTGTTTAAAACTGAGCAACTGAAACTGGGCGGTGGTGGCGCACGTCTTTAATCCCAGCACTCGGTAGGCAGAGGTAGGCAGATCTCTGAGTTCAAGGCTAGCCTGAGCTACAGAGCGAGTTCCAGGACAGCCAGGGCTACACAGAGAAACCTTGTCTTGAGAAACAAACAAACAAACAAAAAACAAAAAACAAAAAAACCCTGAGCAGCTGGGGGTGGGAGTGTGGCTGAGACTAAGGAAAAGCAGTAAGTTGGGGACTCAAATTTAACCTGTCATTGCTTTGAGATGATAGGCAGCCCTGGGAGGCAAATATGGACAGCCGGAGGGCTGAACAACGCTGACAAGCCGAAAAGTACAGCTGTAGGGAGCTCACGTTAGGCAGTGGAGTGCAGAAGTCCACCTTTGGTGATGGAGAACAGATCTCATCACCTGAGAACAACGCTGGAGTTTGGTAGCCCTGAGATGAATGAGACCAGCAAGTGCATCAGCCTGTGGGTTATCTATCTGCTGCTCACTGTTCTAGAGTCTGCGTTCTCCCAAGTGCATCACTAGCAGGGGGCTTCATACTTGGGAAATACTGAAAGTCTGAAGGGGGTCCTCTGCCTCCTCAGACCTCAGTACTGTGGTTGCTTCTCGTGCTTCCAATGTACTTGAGAGATATCCCCAGAAAACCAGTAGATCCCTTAGGTGGGGAGGGGGTAATCTTGAGAGTCTCTAGAGAGCGAAAGAGGCTTCCCAGTTCACAAATCCCAAAGCCCAGTGTTGCCAGCAGAGATCTCGGGTATGAAAAGGGAAGCTGCTGAAGTAAGGGCAGCTCTGGTGGGTGAGATGCCTGCCCAGTACAGCTCAGGGAAGACAAGAACACAAGCCACTTGACACACCTCCCCACCCTACCCCGCCCCCACCCTCCCTCAGGGCATAGAGCTGGCAGGTTTCGGAGAGACTACAACACTTCCTCTTATTTTGTTTGTCTTTTTCTTACATCATGTGCTTCATTTTTCCTTTTTTATTATACTTTTAGCAGAATTTTTATGTTGTCATATTTAAAAGCAACTTTGTGTTGTTTTATTCCTTTTCATAGTTTTGTCTGTTTATGTATTGATTTCATCATCGAAATGTTTCCCTTTTTTCTTTCTTTGCCCTATGTGTTCTTCCTCCATCCCACTATACTTGTAGTGAGTGAAGTTCTTACTTTATTCTGATGTTTTTCTAAATATTTGTTTTAATTTTTACTTCTTAAATTTATGCAATTTTGCTTTCACTTTTCCTCGTTGTTGGGAACGCTTTCATTTTCTCTTTTAAGGTCTTTAATTGTGTCTGATCTCATGCTGTTTCTCACCTCCTCCTCACTAGTGTGGCTTCTCCAGTCTCCTCTCCCTCCTGGCCCCCTTCCTTCATCTCATTATTCTACTGGTTACATATTTATCCTAAATCATTTCTAACTTCATAGCATATTCTGTGTTGGTTTTGGCATTTCCTGTGTACGGTCACTGAGCTTTGATGGTGAGCTTTGGTAAATTTTAAGTATATGTCTACATCTTTTATTGTTTGATGGTGTTGCTGCTGTGGAAGTTAATGTTCTCTCTGGGTGGTATGGGTGGCTGAGTCCTCAAGAGTTGGTTGCTCCATAAGATTTCCAAATAAAGCCAAAAGAGAAATTCAAACCAGTGGAAGCTCAAATCTCAACATAGAAACATGAAAAGGCAAAGCAACTTAAATCCATCAAAAGATAAAAATACGAAATTCAATGGTACTAAAAGAGGTAAATGCCAAATGAAGACTTTCAAAAGTATACTACTTAACATGATCAAGGACCCCAGAGAGAATACAAACCAATGGATGAATTCAATCCCGGCCTTAGAGAGGAAAGCCAGCAACATGGATACTAAGGTTAACAATGTGGAAGAAAAAATCCAGCAAGGAAAACTGTATTTGAAGGAAAACCAAGC